ATATATATATATATATATATATATATATATATATATATATATATATAATCTTTCTACAGTGTCCCACTTCAAAACATCTAAACCATCCCTTTAACTCCATAAAGATTATAGTGAAATATTACAAAGCTTCCTGTTTTTCCCCGTATGCACAGTTTGTCCACTGCCAGTGATGTCTCAGAGGATGAGAGTGAGTTTAGTTTATTTTCACAGAGCTGGCAGATGATTGACATATGAATCATTGTGAAATATTGCCAGGGATGTGTGGCTCCTCTCATTACAGCCCAGGGATCTTGGGTCACAAAGATGAACGAGGGGGGAGGGGAGCGTGTGCCCATTCCTGTAAGCGGTGCTCTTAACTTAGAGATATGACTTGGGTGGACAGAAACTGCTCCGGATGTCTCTTTGACTGACATTTGCAAACTTGACTAAGTTCATGAAATGTGCTGAAGCTGTGGCTCTATCCCCGTCTCATTTTCTAAATGAGCTGTTACTCAGGCTCGTAAGCTGCCCTGGGCCCCGATGCTGCCAGGTTATATGCACATGTGGCACAAAATGAGCAGTGTCCGGAGGAGGGGGCTTCTAATGCACATAAGATTTTATAAACCATACAGATTTATTGGATTACATTATGTCACGCTGTGTATCTAAGAATGTTTACAGTTAGGATGAGCAGTCACTAACGGGACAATCAAATTTTATATGTACTACACTGGAAAAACATTTTAGAACAAAGAATTTTAAGTTACCAGTACTTTTAAGTGCAAGTAGAAGCAACAGCAGCTCTTATTTCAGCCCAGTTCTATCATATTTCTGCTGGGATTACAGTGTAACACAAAGTTGACAGTGGTGTAAAGCATTGGTTCCCAACCATGGTCCTTGAGGAACACCATCCTGCATGTTTGAGTAGTTTTCCTGCTGTTAATCACCCATTCATTAAAATCAGGTGTGTCGGAGCAGAGAAATAACTAACAGATGCAGGATGGTGTTCCTCAAGGATCAAGGTTGGGAACCCATGAACTGTAAAGATTTATTAAACAGAGACTAGATAGGATGGAGTGGGAGATGGATCAACGAATCGGGGTCTCGTTCTCAGTATTAAGGGCGTTGCTTTTGTCTGTGGTGGTGAAGACAGAGTTGAGTCAAAAGGCAAAGCTCTTACTGGTCTGTCTTATGTTGCAACCCTCGTCTATGGTCAGGATGTTTGGATCGTGACCGAAAGAACGAGATTCTGGCTACAAGCAGACAGAATAAGCTTCCTTTGTAGGGTGGCCAGGCTCAGCCTTAGAAATATGAGGAGCTCTGTCATCCGGGGGAGCTCAGAGTAGAGCCGCTGCTCCTTCGCAGCAGTTAAAGTGGTTTAGGCATCTGATTAGTAGCTATGCCTTCTTGAAGCCTCGCTTAGGAGGTTTTCCAGGCATGTGCCACTGGGAAGAGGCCTAGGAGGGATTACCTGTACAGGTATATGTCCTTTCAGGCCAGGGAATGTCTTGCTTCCCCCAACGACCCCCAACTTGGAATGCACATTATTTATTGTATTACTAATAACTAAATGAAAAGCCTCACAACCCTACACTGTGAGCTTACCGGTGGAGCGTTTATCTTCAAGTTCCAATCTATTTTATATGTGACATAAGCTCAATGTTAATTTGTGAAGGATGTTTAGTCATCCTTCCATACGTAATTTTTCCTTTTTGTTGTTGGTGAAAAACTGTT